CAAAAAAGAATATAATAAATATACATTTTTTTTACCAGCTCCACTCTATTGGTCAGGAAACCTATCTTAATTACAATATTTTGACTGTCATTAGCTCAAACAAATTTTACATGCAACGAGAATTTATAAAATTTTATTAAATAAGTCGTTTTCATAATGTATGGTTGTAAATTGTTTAATCGTTATACTAATTTATTGAGTTAAAAATATACGATAATATAAAGTCATTACACACTACTACTAGAATTTATCTTATTACATGCGACTTTTTCTGTGAATTTCATAAAAATTCGCAGGAAACATTGTTCTTGCAAAATTTTATCTACATGTAATACCTTTGTAGATAATATTTTTTTACGAATTTTAAAATTCGCAGAAAATTTTCCTGCGAAATTTCTTGCGAAAAAAATTTGCAGGAAAGTTTCCTGCAAAAAAAAAAATTTGCAGGAAAGTTTCCTGCGAATTTTTTTGCAAGAAATTTTGCAGCAATATTTTTTACAAAAAAAATTAAAGAAATTACTATAAATTCTATCAATAATTTTTCAACTTTCAAATGCTCACAATGAATTCATCCGAAGCATTTGTTTCAATGTCTCCAACATGTGATACATAATCTTTTAAATTTTAAGATTGTAAATTATAAGTCTAACATTCAACCATATATATCAACTTGTAGGGTAAGTGTTGCCCCAACTTATATACTCTTTAATTGCTTTATTTTCAATCGATGTGGGACTTGAAGTTTTTTTAAAAATATTAAACTTATAAATTTAAATATATATTTTTATTTTTCCTATGAAATTAAAATTTGCAGGAAAATTCACAGGAAAAGTTACTTGCAAAATTTTTCTACTATTTAGTAAACATTACTTGCGAATTTATTTTTGCAAGAAAATCTGCAAGAAACAAAATAAAATTCTTACAATATTTTCTGCAAATTTTTACCATGGAAAAAAATTTCTATGATTATTAAAATTGTAGCAAAAGTTGTAAGAAATATCTGTAAATTATTTTTCGCAAATAAATTCGCAAAAAATTTCTGCGAATATTTTTTTGCAGGAAAATTCGTAAAAAATTTCTGCGAATATCTTTTTGCAAGAAAATTCGCAAAAAATTTCTGCAAATATTTTTTTCAGGAAAATTTGCAAGAAAATGATATTTTTTTAGTAGTGACACTATTAATTAATTAATTAAAATTATTTTTAATTTATCTTTTAAAATAAGAAAAATTAGCTTGTACATTGATAATACAAAACAATTATACATTATCATTTAATTATAAACACCTTGTATTATTTTATTATTTTTTATTTCAACAAATTGCTTTGTTCTGTAAGTTTTTTTTTAACTTTAATAATATTTGTCTTAAAGTTATATTAAAAATAATTTATGAGACTTAAATATGATTTTAATTTTTATAAAATTAATAAATTTTAATGTTGATTATTTTAGGGATCAAAATCAAAACTCACTTATTTTATGAAGATTAAAAATATATTTAAGTCAATTTATAATTATCTAATTGTGTATAAGTTTCTACATTAAAATCACCTAATTATTAAAATTTTAAAATAATTACTATCAAAATTAACAAACTTATTTTTCCATTCAATATAATATTCAATTTTTATATTATGAAAAGTTAATATAAATTTAACACTTTTTTAATTACATCAAGAATATAGTGAGAGGCTATATTTTTTTCCAGACATGTATAGATCACCAAATTGGAATTTGCCTTTCCTAATAAAGACACTTCTTTGTAGGCATCGCCAGAAATCAAACCCTTTTAAACATGTTAAAATTGTTTAGATATCTTTCGACTATGCTGAAAACAAATAGTAATATAAATTAACAATACTTCAATACACATTATGTGAAAATTAATAGAATACTTAATACTCCCCAACCTTCTATTTTTTTTTTTTTAATCTTTCTTCGTATATTTTTATCTTTTTATATTTTTCTTTTATAATTATTAATGGTTGAAAGTAAATGCACATAAAATAAAGATTTATTTATTTAATTAATTAAAATAAAATATTATTATACTATTTAAATTGAAATATATTTATTAAATATTTTGATGTTGATATCTGCATCTAGGAATCACAATGGAGCCCCGTGGAGGCGAGTAATAGTAAACCTGCCCCCGCCTCGCTGAATGAAAATTGGTTCCATACCCATCCCATATCTGCGTGACTATTTATGAATTTCTTGAATACTCACGGATATCCATGGGTATTTATAAATTTTTTAAAATTAAAATAATTTTAAGTTTATATTTAGTGTCATTGAAATATTAAAAATAAAAATTCAATGTTAATTTTGAACTTGTATTTAACGTTAATTTTGTTGAAATAATAATAAAAATGCAAGATAATCAATAACTTAAAATACATTAATTTCACAAGTAAGTTAAAGTTTCATCACAAAGCTACAATAATTCAATCTCATAATTCCAAACGAAAGTAAACAACTTAAAATACATAAATATTATTGGTCTAATCAAAGCTAGAAAATTAATCAAATTACATCTAACATAATTCTATAACATGCTTAACACATATTGGTAACTTCATCAACCTCACTTTTGTAGGAAAATAAGATGAGAGAGTGTAGTTTTAGGGTTAAGTGATACAAGAATAATTATGATATTTAAGAAATATTATTAAACGGGTATCCGCGGGTGTGGATATCATCATACCCGCCCCTGACCCGTTTATAAACGGGTAAAAATTTATCCGTCTCCATTATCCGTAAGTACCCAATTAACCTATCTATTTATTATCCGTAACGAATTTTACTCACAGATACCCACAAGTGCATGGTATTTTTGTCATTCCTATCTGCATCACTTATAATGAAATACTTGAATTAGGGTGTAATTAAAAAAAAAAAATCATTAATTAGAGTTTAACTTTATAAGCCATTGATTATCTGGAATAAATATAACGTATAAATTTAATGAATATAAATTATATGCTGTATAAAAGTTAATGTACTATTAATTAATTAAAAAAATTATTTGTTTTTTTAAAATAGGAGAAATTAATTAATAATATAATTCTTTTACAATATCATCTGATTACATATCGTCTTTTATTTATCATTATTCCAGTTCTGGCAAATCTTTCACAATAATTGTTTTAAAATTCATACCAACAAGAATTTTCAATTAAGGACAAAATATTAAAAAAAATTCAGGCAGATTAATTTTTTTTTATTTTTAAAAAGGTGGTATATATCACTTTTCAATCATAATTATAATTTTACATTCATAATATACATAAATATACATTTATAAGATTTATATTATTTTCTTTTAGTGAAATGGGACCATTAAAGCCCAAATATATTATTTAAAATCACGAGAGAAAAGTACAACGAACTTGTCCGTAAACAAAAGAAAATGAACCCAAATAGGGAATGAAAAATTTTAATATCAGAAGGAATATAACACCTTTCTGTAGCAAATTACCTATCTGCTACTTGTTTTGCCTCTCTCGAAGAACATGATTGCACTCTAAATTATAAAACTTCAATTATAAATTTATAATAAAAGAATAACACTAATAACTAAGTATTGTCCTACAATTAATTAATAGAGTATAAGTTTCTATATCAATTATACATAATAATTAATTTATTAAAATAATTATTATAAAAATAACATTTTTTATATGATAGTTTGTAATTAAATGATAATTTAATGTTATAATATAATTATATATCTCATAAAAAATAGTATAATTACATATTCTATTTTTTTTTATATTATATATATATATATATATTAAATTTTCTTAGTTTATGAGAAGTTAATAATATTTGTTGTTTGCAATAAGAATATTCCTCAACCAATGGTTAAATCCTACCATGTATTATATATGTATATACATGACTCATTATTTTGTGTACATATTACTTGTATATATTATATTTTCAAAGTGTACAGAATAGATCATATTGGTGTAAATTTTTTTTTGTAGAAATCATCAAATTGAATTTATATGAATTATAATATCTTCATTTAATATGAATTATAATACTTCATATAATATTTTGAAGTCAACATCCCTAATAAATAATGATGAAAATATTAAAATACAGTGTATGATTAATCGAAAAAAAAAAACCATTAATTAGAGTTTAAATTTGCAAAGCATTAATTATTCTGAAAAAGCGTATGTATTTAATGAATATACGTTAAGTAAAAAAGTTGTTACACTATTAATTAGTAATTATTATTTTTTTTAATTTATTTTTTAAAATAAACATAACTATACTATCAATTATGATATTTTATTTTATTAATATTGATATGATCACTATTCAATCACAAATAAATTATTAAATCTTAAATTAGTAAAAAAAATTTAAATTTTATGCATGTGTTATCGATGTATATTTTAGATGTATATTTTATTTTCTAGGCGTAGCTAGTAATCAGAAAATTAGAATTTAATTTTATTAACAAAGCCTTCTTTATAACTAAAAATGGGAATTTTGTTGATATAATAAAAAAATTAAATTATTTATAAGAAAATGATAAATGAATAATTAATTATGTAACATTATGCGAAAATGAATAGAGAAGCTAATCATAATCTGAAAGGTTGTAATAGTTTATGGTCACGTGGGAGAAATAAAGGCCCCAGCCCCAATAACGACGTATGTCCCAGCGGTGATGTCTGATTATTTTGCGCACGCGTAACTCATGCCGCTTCGCTTCTGCCCTCTCGACGAGTTGACGACTATGCCTTTTACGTGTCCATATGTCAACCCTCAACTTTCCACCATTTTCTTTTATTTCCTCTATTTTATAATTTTCCATACCATACGGCCTCATAAAAATTTAAATAATACAAACCAAAAACCACTGCACTCAAAATTCCGATTATTCGTGCCCATTGTATTCTATCGCTACTTTACTTTAATTAACTAATAATAGTACTCCCACGGTGGACCAAACCCATTATATATATCACACATTCCAACCCTCGTCTTCACACTTCTCTTATTAAAAAAACACACAAAGAGAGAGAGAGAGAAACACATAGAGATGAGTTTTGATTTGAAAGGGTTTGTTTCTCTTGAATCAATGTCTTTAACCTGCGGTGTCTTCTTCTTCTCCTTCACCCTCATTTTCTCCCTCTTCTCGTTCCTCCTCTTCATCTCGCGGATGAAGCCCTGGTGTAACTGCCACACCTGCAAGAGCTACTTAACTTTCAGCTGGTGCGCCAAGTTCCCCAACCTCTGCGACTGGTACACGCACCTTCTGCGAAACTCCCCCACGGGAACCATCCACGTGCACGTGTTGGGGAACACCATAACATCAAACCCAGACAACGTCGAGCACATTCTCAAGACAAATTTCCAAAACTACCCCAAAGGGAAACCCTTCTCCGCCATCCTCGGCGATCTTTTGGGCAAAGGAATCTTCAACGTGGACGGCGAGTCATGGAAGTTTCAGCGCAAAATGGCGAGCTTGGAACTCGGAAGCGTCGCGATTCGCTCCTACGCGATGGAGCTCGTGAACCAAGAGATCCAGACGCGCCTCGTCCCTTTCATGGAGTCAAAAACCACTGCAAACGCGGTTTTTGACTTGCAAGACATCCTCAGAAGATTCTCTTTCGACAACATTTGCAAATTCTCCTTCGGTCTCGACCCGGGCTGTCTCCTTCCGGCGTTGCCGGTGTCCGACCTCGCAGTGGCGTTCGACTTGGCGTCGAAGCTTTCCGCGGAGCGCGCCATGACGGCGTCGCCGTTTGTTTGGAAGGCGAAGCGGTTCCTCAACGTGGGGTCGGAGAAGAGGCTGAGGCGAGCCATCGGCGTGGTGAACGACGTGGCTAAGGAGATGATACGACAGCGGAGGGAAATGGGGTCCAACTTCAACGCACGAAATGACCTTCTCTCGCGCTTCATGGGCTCCATAGACGACGACGTTTATTTGCGAGACATTGTCGTGAGTTTTCTTTTGGCCGGTCGCGACACGATTGCCTCCGGGTTGACGGGCTTTTTTAGTTTGCTGTCGGGAAGCCCGGATGTTGAGGCTTTGATCCGGGAGGAGATGGGCCGGGTGGTGGGCCCGGCCCAGGAGTTTCCGAGCTTTGAGCAGTTACGCGAAATGCATTACCTCAGCGCGGCGATTCACGAGAGCATGAGGCTGTTCCCGCCGATTCAGTTCGATTCCAAGTACGCTAGCGAGGATGACGTGTTGCCAGATGGCACTTTCGTACGGAAGGGGAGTAGAGTTACGTATCACCCCTACGCTATGGGCCGGATGGAGCGGATTTGGGGGCCCGATTGTTTGGATTTCAGGCCCGAGAGGTGGTTGCGCGATGGGGTGTTCGTGCCAGCGTGTCCGTTTAAGTACCCGGTTTTTCAGGCTGGGGTAAGGGTGTGTTTGGGGAAGGACTTGGCTTTGATGGAGATGAAGTCCGTTGCGGCTGCGTTGGTCAGACGGTTTGATATCCGGGTTGCGGAGCCGGCTCAGGAGCCCCGATTCGCGCCCGGTTTGACTGCAACCTTGAGAGGCGGGTTGGCGGTTCGGGTTTGTGAGAGAAAATGTTGAATCCAATAGAATAGAGAATTACTTTGTAGTAGGGGAGAAACTGGTTTCATGTAAATAATGTCGCTTTTAAATTAAACCCTTTTTTTTTCACTAATGGATAATTTGCATTTACTATATATTATTTATCCAGTTGAGGAAGTTGGTATTTTTGGATTTTCTTGCCCATCCCTGTGAGTGTGACTTTTTCTGTTCTTGGAATTTGTGATCGGAGTTAATGACACACAACAAAAGAAGGAGGAAGAAGGAGGCGAATAAATAACTGAACAAGAGTTGCAGTCAATCAATGCTAACTGGAAGAAAGTTCTACTCTGGTTAATTAATTGGTCTTGGGGTGGGTGATGAATTAGGGTACAATCGGATAATACTTAAAATTTAAGAAGAATATTTTTATGTATATTATTATTAGAGTTAATCACATATCAGTGTAAAATTATTTTATATAAATAATTAATTAGATTTATTAATAATATTTTATTTTATTTTATTTTAATTAAATAAATAAATAATATAATATTATTAACAGATCTGATTAATTATTAATGTAAAAAAAATTTATACTGCCAGTATATAGGTGATTAATTATTATTATTATTATTATATAAAGTTATGCATAAAATATATACTTATCACTTATAAAGTCAGAATTAAAATAAAATAAATTTATTCACAAATTGTTAACTATAGTTTTTTGATTTATAGAAAATTAAATCTCTATGGAAAAAATCTGAATTTCTTAAACTAAGTAAAAAATATTTTATCCATAACGACTTCATATAAGCAGTTCAAGTACCTAGAATAGAAAAATAATAAAAATAAAATAAAATAAGTATTTCCATGAACTAAAATTAAAAATATTTTATGTATAAGTTAAAAATAAAATCTCAAAAAAATAATTAAAAAATTCTACAAATTAGTTTATACATAATTTAATTTTAATTTATGAAGGATTTTTTTTAATTCTTTCTCTTATAAGTGTCCCAAGAAAAATTTAATTATCTAAAGCCTTAAGTCGAAGAAGGAATATTAAAAGAAGAAAAAAATTGGTATAGCCTGATAGTATTATTATGATGAATAATACTCATTCAAATTTAAAATGACTATAGTACGTTAAACTGTATTGGTTTTTTTATTATTATTTTATTTTAAAAATGATACATCCTCCCAAACATATTCCGATATGTTGATTTCTATGTATCATTTAATAAATTAAATAACGTAAAAAAAATTCCTGTGTTTTCGGAGGAAATTTCTTTTTTTTTTAGTCAAAGATACTTGTTATTGTTTCTCTATTCTTTGTGTATGAATGTTAAATTAATTAAGCTATAAAGGAGATGGTTGAAAAGATGTACAGTATATACACGTTTTCCTTACACTACGATCCTCGTTTACGGCACTTGTAAGGTGGAACCATTAGGTATATTCTTATAATTTTTGTTCAAAGTTTGTTTAAAAGTACGAAGAAAATAAGAGACGTGTGTGATAAAATGCTACAACATTGAATAATGTTTTGTGGACATAAATGATAGTGTACTATACTAACAGAGAGAAATGAGCCCATTAAATAAGTATTTGTACAGAGATGTTGCTCTATTAATGAGGTAAAATAATTATCGTGAGAAAATAATTACTTACTACATAACTTTCATTTAATCGATTTCAAGATGTTAATTTGAGTATGATTTAATAGGTTAATTTGATGAAGTTGTAAATAAGATTAAACTGAACCTTAAAAATTGATAAATTGACAAATTAATTACAGTGCTATCTATACGTAACCGGAATGTGTAATGGAAGTGAAACTTAGCTAGTTAGAATTAATTTACCATTTCATTGTAACCAAGTAATCATTACCGTGAATGCTATAAATAGGCATCAGTTGTGGTAATTTTGAGACACAGAAACTTAGGGAAATAGAAACAAAAGAAAGAAGTAAGTGAAGAGACAAAGAAGAGAAGAGAGAAAGAGAGATAGAGAGCGAAGTAAGAAATTTTTTTTTACTTAACTACTTCTTGATAAGTCTACATTCCAAGGTAAGGGGGAGAAGAACTTTGTTTCTTTAAAATTTTATCTACTACTATGTTTATTTATTTATGTTATTTTCTTTATATATTTATCTAGTGAGGTGTCCCTAACCTCATTTATTTGCTTAATCTATGATTATTTTTATCCATAATGATTATTAAGGTGTTCATATTTTCTATTGTTTAACTATTTTATAATGATTGTCATATTTATTTCTATCATTGGTACTTCTAATATATTCTTTTTACGTAAATATATTTATTATAAATATATTTTATAATCATCTATAATATAGTTGTGATATTTTGGACTCGTTTTGTTGTTATTTCTTTACGCATTTATAAAAATAAATATTATTCTATGGCCATAGAAGATAAAGTTTGAATTATTTATAGTTGGAGGTTTGACCTTGGGGATTTAAATGAGTAACCATTCATGATAAAATATTCTGTTAATATTTGTTTGATATTACGATAATGCTCATTTATCCTGACTAGTCACTATTAAAATGATTCAAATTTTATTATTTAATTTTTATGTTCTTTATTTAATTAAGTATATTTATTTAATAAGTGTTCTCACTCCTTATTTTTTTTTGTGAAAAATTTAATATATTATAAAATAGATGGATCTACCGGCCATACCAGGTCCTTTTATAGTAGTTATCACTGTCGTTTTCCCCGAAGGTAATTGGGGTATAGATGCTATCTCCAACTCTGTCACGTTCCTAGGCATCAAACTGTCTTCGTTCGTCTTCTTTCCCGACCAAGAAAATCCCACTATCATAGATGGACCTATTATAGTGACTTTCTTTTTACCACCAGCAAATCATATAAATCTTATCGTGAACTTATTTTCACCACCATACTATCGTAGTAGTAGTGAAAAAAGGAAGAAAAAATTGTAATATGTAAGGCGTGTGCTCTCAATAATAGTAGAATAATATGTATGTGAATATTAAAAATAATAATGTAAGATATGAGTAGTTTATAATTATGTATATATTTTTGCAAATATTGTAAGACCTTTATAAGTTAATTATGTGTATGTGAGTTTGAAGATTTTCTTTTATTACTTATTTGTATTCTCAATCTAAAACAATATATATATATATAT